GGAAGGCCCAAAATGGCCCATGTCTGCATGGAGAAATGGAAAGACATAGTACGCCGTAAACAAAGGCAATGTTGCACAGCAGCACATGGTGCAGGCAGCTCACCTCAGGTAAATACTCCACAGATGAATAATAAAAAGCATCCCAGTTGCTTCAAGTGGAGGTTTTCATGGAAACCCTAGCAGCAAGAGGGTTTGCTGCTGTTTCGTTTAGGGGAAACACTTAGGAGTGACAGAAAAAAGGGCAATGTTTCTTGGGAGGTGGCAGGATTCAGAGATTAAACACACTAAGCAAGGCTGAAGTTTGGACTTGGGAACTCTTCAGCAGGTTGCCCATCCAGCCTGGGATGTATCACAATCTTTCAGTTCCTTTCCTGCAAACTGGGGTGGATTTTCACCTGTTAGACCTGTTGAAAGGGTACAAGCCCTTCAGGACAACAAACATCCCTGTGTGGTAGTACTTAGGCTACCATGGAAGACACTCTTTGTAATCATGAAAAGGTGTTTTTTGTGGATATCCACCACCAGGTTTGGCAGCAGAGCCTGAAGGAAAAGTGGTGGAAGGGCTCCATGTGCACCACTCTCCCTACGAAACATGGTCCAGAAGGTCATGGCCAGTGCTGCACCCTCTCCAGACCGGCAGCCCTCAGTGCTGAAGGCTCAGGGCAGCTCCATGCTGCCCGTATGATCTGAATTAACATTAACCCCCTTTTTCCAAACAAGGTTTTATCCCCTTCTCATTGAAAGATCACAAACCAGGATGCTCCTTTTGCTCTGCCAGCTCACCGACATGCAAGCACCCTCCTCCTGGCATTCAGCGCTGGGGTTTATGTCTTAATTGGCATCCCCCAAACCACTCCAGCATGAGGGCAGACAACCCGATAAACGCAAGAACCTGCCCTCCCTTCGGTGCCTTTTCAACCGCGCTTCCCTTTCCAGGCAGTCTGAGCTGTTTTATCACTTTCTCAAAAGGAAAGCGCTGCCGAGTCCCCAAACCTCACAGCAGCAGGGCACTGGAGATAAGGCAGGGAAAATATTTCACTCGCAAGGAAACTGTGCTCATCTCGCGCTAACGTCCCCATCCTCTGGAATCCAAGGCAATAATTACAGCAATTTGTAGATAATTATTTGTTAATTAAAAACAGGCTTGCTGGGTACAGTTACCAATTTCCTCTGCTGGCTGCATAGGGCTGCGCAAGGAGACACTGGGGGATTGCCGGTTTCATAAAATCGTTTGCTTGTTCAGTTTGGAAAAAAAGCCCCCAGTGGGTCGTCTCCCCCACACACACACATCCTGGCAGGTCTGATTCATTCTCCTAAGACATCCTGGAGAGATCTGTGCCTGGCTTTCCCTTGGAGATTTCCAATGAAGGTGACTGCCGCATCCCCCCACTGCAGCCTGTTTCCCCCGCTAATTTAATGACCCTGTGCTCACAAAGACTCATTTCCAAACCCATTTAAATTAGTAGCTCCTAAAGAAGGATTCATGACCCCAAGTTGAGGTCATGAGCCTGAGAGAAGCTCACTTCCTTCCCATGTTTATATTAGCAGTAATAAATGAACAGTGTGTAGATGGAGTTACAGCTGGGAGCACACTGAAGCTGCCAGCTTAAATAGTGCTGTTGGGGGGCAATTGTTCTGCCCTAGGTTGGGCAGTCTGTGGTTCCTGGTATCTTCCCAGGAAAAGTTTCTATGACAGCTGTGACAAGAAGTAATGACAAGATTTCAGATGTCCCCCACTAAATACAGCACCCACGAGGAGCGCGTCTTGGGATGATGCCCTTCGTGATGTGTGAGGATTTTGGATCTTATGAGTCCTCTGTCTCTGTTTCTCCTGTGGAGCACACCTTCTCCGAGGCCCACCATGATCCACCAACCTACCAACCCGCTCCATGGTCCCCCACAGCTCCAGAGCCAGAAGGAATTATTTAGCCCTGGAAGCAGGAAAGTCACATGGCTCCTGATCTGCTGGACTGAGCTGGCTCTGGGTGGTCACTTCAGATGTTCCTTCCTCTGTGGCACTGAGGAAACAGCTCATGGAGATCTAAGAGTTGGTTGTGTGGGTTGTGCACTAAAATAGTACCAGGAGCATGAGTATAAAACCTCACAGAAAAGCAAGTCCATGGGGAAGTATGGTGAGAAAAGAAAGTGAGCAGCCTCGTCCTCCTGGTTGTAGCAGAGCAGCTCAGAGCCACGGTGACAAGGATGGAACCAAGGAATACCATGGCCATTTTGTCATCATGTGCCCAGAAGCAGATTGTTCCCATCCCCCTTAGGAAAACAGTGGCGTCAATGAGAACAAACCAGTGATAATAGGGAGGGGAAACAAATTAGACTGTCAATATCCTCTTCATGGAAATAATCTCACAGGTTGTTAGTCACACAGGGCTGGCTTCGCCCCTCTAATTTTCTCCTGTACGTGGGCTTTCGTGTTCTTCTCATCACCTTAGTGGCTGAGTGCCTGCACCATATGCAGAGGAATCACAATTAAGCAAAGTGGCTGGATGTTATGATATATGGGACTAGGTCTTTGCTTCAGCAGCACAGAAAGCTAGCGAAGAGCTGAGATTAAACACCGGGTTAATTAGTACATTTAATTAGTTCTCAGTTATTAAATCCTTTCAGACCCTTAGATAAATCGCTCAAAGTACAAAACATTCCTTAGAAATGCTATTATTTATTCCCCTTTTCTCTCTCCAGGTGTGTGCAGGGCTGGGGAGCTCTAGCTTTCCTCCTGCAGCTTCAGGCAGGAGCAGAGTCCATCCTAGCCTCAATGGCCCAACGTCAGTCTCTGAGATTACTCTTGAATTTGCAAGCCTGCCAATTTCCAAATTCACAGTTCTTCTGAGAGGGGAAGAGGCAGTACCCTACTAATGTGGGCAACAGTAGAAGGAAAGGGAAAAGTGTTGGAAAAAAAGCAGGGAGCAACAGCTCCTCTTAACTCTGAGAGACAGAAACAGATTCACAGAGGTTTGTCATGGACTTAGTCATGCAGCAGTGTGTCCTTTTCCATGTTGTCTTCCTCTGTGGCTGCAGCAAACAGGCATGGCAGCCCTGCAGGTAAAAAGAGCAGAAATGGCTGGAGGAACTTCTCATGCAGGCTTTGGAGCATTGCCAGTCACTGTGCCAGACTGAGGGACAGCAAAAGCTCCTCCAGGCTCCTGTTAGCAGAGTCTCCCACATTGGCCCCCCTGAATGACTTTCCTGTGGTTTCCATGTTCGTCCTAACAGTCCGTGGACGCACCTCTGCTCTGGAGTCCTGAGGCAGCTGCCAGCCTGCTCCTTCTCCCCATCATCTCCAAGTGCACGGCGGTCCAGTGCTAACCCACCACACAGAGCTGCTAAGATCCATGGGGTCAGCTGCGCTTCAGAGAGCCCATGGCAGCCCTGTGTCCTGGTTTTGGCTGGGATAGAGTTAATTTTCTTCCTAGTAGCTGTCACAGTGCTGTGTTTTGGTTTTAGTATAAGAATAATGCTGATAACACACTGATGTTGCAAAGCAGCACTTACACTAGTCAAGGACTTTTCAGCTTCCCATGCTCTGCCAGGTGCACAAGAAGCTGGGAGGGGGCACAGCCAAGATAGCCGATCCAAACTGGCCAAAGGGCTATTCCATACCATGTGACACCATACTCAGTATAGAAACTGGGGGGAGTTGGCTGGGGGGCAGTGATCGCTGCTCGGGGACTGGCTGGGCATCAGTCAGCAGGTGGTGAGCGATTGCATTACTTCGGGCTTTTTTCCCCTGGGTTTTGTTTCTCTCTCTCATTGTTCTCCTTTTCATTGCAATTTTTATTACTATTATTATTTTATTTCAATTATTGAACTGTTCTTATCTCAACCCATGAGTTTTCTTACTTTTGCCCTTCCGATTCTCTCCCCCATCCCACTGGGAGAGGGGGAAGCGAGCAGCTGTGTGGACCTTGGTTGACAACAGGGGCTAAACCATGACATCCTGCCAGAGGCTGTTCTGGTAGGGGATTTATTTATGGTAGGGGAATCCGGTTTCTGAGATGATCTTGGAGATCTATCCAAAGCATTTATCACTTGGATAATGAGGGGCCCTGAACAACACAGGTGCAATGAGCTCAGGCTCTGGGCAGGCTGGAAAATTGATTCCTGTAGAGTCAAATCTGTATGCCATTCTCCTCATAGTTCACTGGGAAACTGATGTTTGGGGTCTACGGAAGGGAGTTTCACTGTTTTCAGCACCAAGCCTTCTCTTCCCTAGTTAATAACAGCTGTGATGGTGGGCAGGGAATTCAGGTCCTCCTGATGCTGGTGACCTAAACACATAGGCTGAGAATTAATGGGAGCAAAGGGCTACACTGGATGTGGCTCGCTTAAGGGAGTTTGCTTAGGAAAAAATAATAGTGCAGGATTAAACTGAGGGATATTCCTCATTCCACCATGAAAGATATCACACAACGACTTACCCAGTACTTGTCTGTGATTCTAATGATCTTAAATTATTAGAAAGCAGAAAGCAAAGTTTGGGATAAGATGCTGTTACTCAGAAAACCAAAATTTTGAGAAAAAGAATGCAGCTTTCTGGAAGATAATGTTCTCTCTTTTTTCCCCTGCGCAGTTTCAAAAGAAAGGTATTTAATCCTTCTATAAATAAGTATGAATGTATTTGCTTCTAGACTCTACAAAATATGTCTGCAACAAAGCAATGTAGAGACATTTGGGAATGAAGTAGCTAATTTGATACTCATAAGAAACCATAACCATAGCCTAGGACTGCATCTCAGAGGACTGGGCTGACCTTTCAGCAGCTGATGATAGTTCTGAAATGGCTTCTCATCACTGAAAGCCCAATCTAACATCAGTTAAAATAAATTAAAAGCTATCACTGACTTCTGCGGATATTGGATTAGACCATATAAAACCCACTTGAATGCTGGGAACCCAAGGAAATTATCATGGTAAATCTAAATTCTAGTGAAGCCTTACAGGCTTTAAAACATCTCCCTGCAGCCCCATTAAGAACGGGTTTCTACTTAGCTCATGAATAATTCTCCTTTCTTTTTCTTCTGATAGATGACAAGTCCCACCACAATGAAGCCTAAGCCCAGCACAAAGCCCAGCATTCCAGTCACCTTCTTGCTCACAGCAGATCCAGAACATGTTTCTGTTGGAAGAGCAGCCCAGAGAGTTCAAGCCCAGGCTAGACATTGCTTTCCCCAAAAATATCTTTTCTAGTTTCCTGCTGTCCCCATAGAGCTAGAAGCAACTCTCCTCAAGGCTTTCTGATCTCCTCATTTCCAGTCTCTCACCCCAGGCCATGGTGGTGGGCACTGGCAGGCTGACACACTCCACCTGGCAAGCATAGATATCCCCTTGCTTTGGTGTGACTTCCAAAGTGACCAGGATCTGGAAAGACTAATCTCCATTTAGGAGGATGTCCTCATACACAACTTTGTCCATCTCCTCCTGCCCATTTTTGAACCACTTGATCTTAATTTCAGAAGAATAAAACCTTGTTACAGAACAAACCAGCTAGCTGGGATAGCTCCACGTCTCCATTTGCATGGGAGAAATATTTACTCTGAATTTAACTGAAAGAGAGAAAGAGACGGAGAGTGCTGGCAGACAGGTCGCTCCTCTCTTCCTGCCCCATCCTCCTCGGGAACTGTTCGTAGCAACAGGACCTAGGGACATCATATGGATTTCTCCTCCAAACCCTTTTGTCAACACATCCTTTGGTCCAGACCCACTGCCTTCAGCATGACCTCGCATTACACATCTCCCAGTCACATTCATCTTTAATCCTCTTTCTTTCTTCCCTCAGTGGAAGGACCATAATGGAAGATGCACCCTGCTTCTCCCACACCTCAGGTGGGTCCATTGCTCCAGGAATTGGCAGGAGGGGAGTTGCATTTGTTAGGCTTGGGAGTCCTGTCCCATGATTTTCTGCAGGGCTCCTGCAAGCTACTTCGTTCAGTTTTAGACTCATAAGAAAGATGTTAACTGCTCTGGTCCATGGCACTCATTCTCCCCCTGCCCCACTGAACTCAGCCCTATCTCCCACCATCCTCTGAGCAACTCTGACATCCAGTGGCTGCAAACAGCGAGATGGCAGAGGGGGTTAAATGTTCCCAGGCTGGGGAAGCTGAGTTTCCCCATGCCACTCTCCTCTTCTCCTCCCCTCTAAAGATTCATTTCTCCTGTGCATCACACTCTGAGGCCTCCTCCAAAAATAGCTGCAGTATTTCTCCCTTGAAGCCCACAGGTAGGTAAGCCACTGCAGCCTGTTCCAATACTCAGCAACTCCCTGTCCCAACTCTATGTAGGTCATATAGAAACCCACCTCACTGTCATAGGAACAGATCTTCTGCGGGTCCCAGATGAACCTGTCCAGGTACCTCACCTGCTGAGTGCCATTCATGTAGTGACACTCCTGTTTTCACTGCAGCAGGAAATGCTCTCGGGAGAGACACATGGGACAAGGTCAGGATGGACATCTTCCTGCAGTTCTCCCTCATCCCTGAAATCTCTGCTGACCTGGAGGGTCTGTATGAAGAGCCATGTTGCTCCTCATCCATATCATCACAGCCAGAGCCACAAACCAGGAGGTTTTGAACCCAGGAATCCCCAGAGAGGCCATTGTTGCTCAGGTGGGGGGAAAAAAAAAAGCTTGAAGAGAGAGCTAGACTGCTAACAACCACATCTCAGGTCAAAGTAGGAACTTCTCAACGACAATCTGAGTGGAGGAACTTGAGGAAGTTCCCAGACACTGAGGGAATTGGACAGCCCCTCACTACAGATCCACTGAATACCATAGAATCATAGAATCATAGGATCATTTAGGTTGGAAAAG